CATCAAAAAAGCCATGGATCTGCATCAAATAACAATCAACCAAGAAGGGTAAGATACAAACCATTTTTTGCGCAAAATTATGTGCAGTATAACTCCACAAAGTGCAATAGAACCGACACAGACGTAGAAGACTAAGTTTACATGTGCACTGGTCTTCAATCTTTCAGGCACTGAGAAGTCCCCGGCATCTTCATAACCCTGAATTATAGGCACCACAGCCCTGCTGAGGGAAATAGATCATTATAAATCTATGAGAATATGTGCATCTTCACCTGAAAATATCAAAGAAGTACCTAACCACAAAGCATCCAAAGCTCATGAAAGTAAAGCAATGGCAACAAAATAGTTCCTTATTTAGTTCTTTTTGTGATATCTATATATCAAATTGCTTCTTATTCTTATCCCTAAGGTTTATGGTTAGGCATTGGAAAGGACAAAAAACGCCTTAACTCATATTTGTAAGAAGACTACATGTAATAAGAAAATGGAAACAAAACTTGAAATAAAAACCCTAAAGAAATTTCAGAATACAATTTACACAAGGACAAACATGAAAACTGCCTGGCAGAACCTCAAAAAAAAATGTTGGTTCAAATCCTATTATTAAGTATTACGCTAAAAATCCTTTGAGAAGACCAAACAATTGGGAAATCTACTTTTTGTAATTAACAAACCAACATCAGACAGGTGAAAACAATTCTTTCCTACAAGCTACAAAAACTCAATGCAACTAGGCAAAAAATAAAGGCATATACAACACGTAAGAGGAAAATACATGTCTTGAGCTCTTATTGAGCAAACATAAACAACTCGTATGAATATACAAAGATGAGCATAAGCCATTAGACAAGATTAGCGAAGTGCTATGCTAATTACATAACAAGTAAGCAAAAAAGTGCTCCAATATGACCAGCTCGAGAAGAAAGAGATTCCTCCCTTGTCATGACCAATTATTGTCTGCACAAAATAAAAGGGTTCAGCAACATCCCTGTACGAAAAATAAACTATGATGTAATATATTAGAAACTTCCTTTCTGGGTTGCGGTTATGCCTTCTTGAGTTGAAAAGAGTTACATTAGCAGAAAATCCTATGCTAAATACCAAAACCCTAGGGTAAAATTTGATTCTAAATTCATCTGAAATCATCACTACTAGTCCTATTAGATTCTTAACACGGAAAATGGGTTCTCCAAATCCAATTATATGCCCAATTTATTGAAAACAAAACGCACCCTTTGAAAGAAACAAAACCCACAACCGGAATTGCCAAAAAAGACCAACATACAAATTATCTATAACCTGATCAACCGGCTGTGAAAAGCTTTCACTCAAGGGTTCTGATTCTTTCATAATTCAAATTTGTTTTACCGTTTTGAGTTACACAAAAAGATTCATATCTTTCTATCAAATACGAAAACTCAAAACACATGATCAAAAGCAATGACAACAACTACTGATTTTTGTATACAGATGATTGGTATACTGAGACAAAGGCAAATTGAAACGTCCGGTCCAGATGTCGGCTGGGACGAGAATGATGATGGAGAGAGAACAGAACCAGGGGTAAGCGACGGTAAAACCGACGTAGCGAGGCACGTGTGGTCCCGCGAAGTACATGAGCGTGAGTGCCACCATGCCCATCGTCAGAGGCAGCGAGATCAGATAGAACACCCACATCTCTCGCTCTCTCCCTTGTTCTCTGGGAAGGGGATGGAAAATTTTGTTGCTCGAGGTTGACGGCGGCAGGAAGCTTTTAAGGTGAATCAACCTAACGGTCACTTACCGAAAAAATTAAATGAATAAACCAACCAACGGGTCATACCGACCCGTCCATCCGACCCATTATGAATTTAATTTAAATGAGTATAAATTTAAATTTAAAAGAGATTAAAATATTATTTAACCCCTAATTTGAGAATCTAATAAAAAAATTTACTAAAAAGTGAGATCTATGTAACATTAAAATTTATACTGGCTAATTTTTATGTAGGTATTGGATCATGAATAGCCCGACCCATCAATCGACATCACCTGTGTAGGCCTAGAGCCCAATGAATAAGGTTGTGATTTTAACGCTGGGCTAACTGGATTGGCTGAATTGAGACCCACAAATATGGCCCATGGGCCATGGCCACATTAGCCAAGCTAAATTAAGAAATATGCCAGATTGAAAAAGGATGAAATTAGGTGTCGTTACCCTTTTTATGTCTTATTTGGATATAAGTTCCCTGTTTTAATAGGTAAGCATTTAATTCTAAAATAAGTATAAAAATTGTAAGCAAGTACTCTTTTCAATTTTTTTTTTCTTCTTAATATTACTTAATTATTCTTACCTTGATTTATGCATAACTGATATTATAGTTTCTTTTTTTTCAAATCTCTAAATATTTGAAACGATTCTTTTTTAGTGTTATTGTGATATTTTCAAATGTTTGAATTTTAAAAAACTAATCTCCGTTCATTTCGTCATTATCTTTTTGAACCATGAGTTTGTCTTCTTCAACATTAAATGTAGTAATTTTTTTTTTTTTTGGGTGTAGCAAGATTGTCTTTTTTTTTTTACCATTTCAAAATTTCATCTTCTCCTCTAACCTGATGGAAATTGCTCAACTAGACGAGTTAGTTTTGTCTTCTCTTTTTTTTTTCTTTTTTTTTTTATAAATCGAATTCTTTTTGAAAACAATGTAACAACATAAAAATCAATATGACAAGTTGCTCAAAAATAATGTAACAATATAAAAAATAATGAGACAAGTTATTCAAAAATAATGTGATAATATATTAAAAAAATGTGACAAGATAGTTCTAATATAAGAACTATATATCAAGTGGGAGGGGGGAAAGAGAGAGAAAAATATAGTTCTTATCTTAGAAAGAATCTAAATTTAATGAATTTTGAGAAAAATAGTTCTAGTATAAGAAAACCTTAAAATTTAGGATATTTAGAGAGAAATAATCTTAATTTGAGAAAGATTTCAAATATATATATATATATATAAGAGAAAAAAATGTTCTAGACTGGTGTCCATGTTTTGAGGAACAGTGGTCACATTTTTTATGACATTGATTCAGGGATCGTGAGAGATTAATACTTATAAAGAAACTGGCGTTCTGGTTTCCTGATACTTAATGTGGTACTTCAAATTTTTTGGGAAACAAGAGGACTTTTATCCAAAAAAAAATTGAGAGAGACTTCTCTCTCAAATAAGTGTTAAAAAAAAGTATCAGCTTTTAAAATTCCCTTGAAAAAATACAGTTAAGGTTAACAATGAACAAGCCATGGTTTTTGGATGCACATCCCCTTTTCCACTCTTAGCAGTTATTGTAATTCTTAGTTTTTCACTTAGCTCACATAAAATGACCTGTTCTATTTGTGGGTTTGAGTGGAAATTAACAAAATAATTCAATCAACCTTTATATTCTTTGTTTGGTTAGGAATTTAAAACCAACATTTGAAGTACCCAATATTCGTAATTGGATCTCAGATTTGGTGGATGTAGTAGTGCAAGACTCCAAACAAGTAGTGGCTGTTTTGAGCAAGGTGACCTCCGTTGGGTGGACTATCTGGAAAATGAGGAATGAAGCCATCTTTTTTTATCAGTCCCCCCTAACCCTTTGTATGCCATTAATGGGGTCATTATGGGTTGGAGAGACATGGGTTATTCAAGTTCGTGCAGATCTAGGACCCATTCAAGTCCGGGCACACAGAATTTACCACAGGCCCTCATTGGCTCCCCCCAACCCAGAATTTGGTCAAATTCAATTGTGATGGTGCATTTAACCCCAGCAGGTCTATTGCTTCGGCTGGAGTGGTGTGTAGGGATGCTGGGGGGGCTCTCATTGATGAGGTGTCATTCCCAGTTCCAGCAGTGTCCAGTCTGCTTTCTGAAGCTGTTGCAGCCCTTGAAGCATGCCTCATGGCTCTTTCTCTGAACCTTCAATCGTGATACAATTGAAAGCGACAACCGGTCCCTCATTTTACTGTGCACCGGTGAAGATGATCCCCCAGGGGAAATAGTTGCCTTTATAAAAGACATCAAGACCGCTGCTACAGTCTTAAATCTTAATTTCAGTTACGGGTCTCGAGTTACCAATACGATGGCTCACTAGGTGGCCAAAGTTAGACTTTTTCATCCCTTACCTCAAGATTGGGCGGTGAATCCACCACCCGAGCTCAGGACTTACTTATTTTTTATTGTAATCAATCTTTTATTAGTTGAATAAAATTTTCCTTTTTTGATAAAAAAAAAAAAACAAAAGTACATGTTATGTGAAGTTTGATATGCACAATATATTAAAACCCACATATATAGGCTTGGACTAACCCGGGTCGGGGTGGTGGGGGGCTTACATGGGGGCAACCTGGATATCCACGGCAAAAAAACATTACTAACCCCAAATAATGAACTTGCATTAGATTGGACTAGACATTTTAGTCAATTCCATAATTGGTTTTATATCAATATGTGGATCTTACATTAACGTAAAAAAATCGAACATTTTATTGAAATATAAATACTTAAATTCGACCATCTTTAACAACTTAAATTTTTGAAATAAACGGATATTAAAATATTCTATTTCGATAGAATACACATATGAATCCCATGTACAAATTCAACCGGGTGGAGTTTGAAAGGACTAGAAAAAAAAAAAAACATTCTTATCCATCACTTTCCCACTATCCAAACATGCCAAAAGACAGGATTATCAATCTTGTCTTGGAGAGTTTGGTTCACCATAATTAGAGGATTCGGCCATTGCCCTGCAGTTGTTGGCGGGATTGAATCTCATCGCCCCCTCCCTATGTAAATACTAGAGTATCAAAAGGGATGAACTAAGTAGCACCTAATTTTTCTCAGGTTTAAACTCACTTTCATGTTTTTATACTTATGAACAACACTGGACAGATGAAGCTCTCTGTACAAACACAAGAAAGAAGCAGAAATATTACAAAACTGCATATTTCGACATCCAATGTCAGATTGCACCCCCCCCCCCCCAACACACACACACACACACAACAAAAAAACCCCTCTTTTTTCTCTCCTCCTCCTACAGGGGACCAGGAAAGATCCCTTGCTCCCTTTGTTCATTCCAAGCCTCTAACTGCATATAAGTCATTGAAATATGTTACCTTTAGGAGCCATTCTAAATGAACAAAGCCCAATCATGTTGTAATAGCAAGAACAAAAGCAAAAGCAGTTGAATACATAAGGGCTTGTAATGCTTCCATGAAACACTGGTTCACTAAAAAAACAAACTAATCGACTTCAAAGAACTTCAGCTGGGTAGAGAGACTTATGGTGCTATTTATCAACTATCGTATCTTGGAAGCATAGCAACAAATTCTGTAGCTAAAATCTGAATCAGATCCTTTCAGGAGTGAAGCAGGAAAACAACTAACAAGCAGACTGCAAGGATGAAAGTGAATGACAAACAGACTCAAGGAGGAATGTAAGGTGATACATTTGTCCATCAGGTTCTAGGATAAATTCCACTAGTTTTTCAAATAATTCATAAATACCACCTAATCTTCAAAATTTTACCAATAATTACTCAATCTTCAATAGAGCATGATAAAATTACACCTGCAGATGCAGAATTTCACAATCAATCCACAAAATTTATCCACTGAAGAAAACCAAAGTAATTGAAAAGGGTCCATGCAGTATTAGCACGGGCACAGGAAGTTCTAAATAGTCCCAATATTTGCCAAGTAGCCATGGGATCTGATAGACTCGGACCAACTAGATGTGCCAGTATAACCCCAAATATCATTTGAATAACATGAATAGTGCTAATATAGAAATATAGATACTTAAACTAGTTCAATCCCCCACATGGTCAGGTATGAGCTTGAAAGTGTGTTTATATAGACCCTTAAAAAACTTTCCCTTGCAGGCCAGTTTTCAAATGTGAGTTCTGACCATCGATTCATAACAATGATATGAGAGGATGACGAGTTCCCATTGGCTCAATATGGATATAGTGGTGGGCCCAACAATGTTACGATCCTGCTAAATGCTTAAACAAGTCAGTCTCATAAGTTCTGGAGCTTTTGGATCAGCGGTCTAGTTCTTAACAGGTTTCAAAACACTAAAAGCATTCTATCACCGAGGTTGTCCAACATTAACATTTCTTGCCAAAGCCCAAAGTCAGAACCAGAGTAAAAATCAAGGATAAAATCCAACTTGAGTGATATATTCACATTGAAGGAAGCATGTGAACATAATAAAACACATGACATACCCATTCACCGGGGCATAGGGATCGATAATATTTTGCAAACTGGTTAACAGAACCAAGCTAACAAAACAGTGACCAAAAAGAGATGAACCATACTGGATACTTTGACAAACCTATGATACTCAATGTAGCGTGTAAAGCAATGTCGTGATTGATTTGTAGTTGGGAATCGGATATCATTAGGTGCTGTCTCAAGCTGGATTTAACAGCAGAAATTTAGTGAATATTTGGTCAAAAAGAAGATGGAAATAAGATAATCATTTATGTTGTACCAAGACAACCATAGTTAATCCATAGAGTTCTTGTCACATTATACCTTTATTCCAAATGTCTCCTCCTCGCCTTCTTCATCACCTGATTCCCCCTGCTGCTCGGGAGCTTCATTGTTTTCTTCCTCAGCAGGAGGGGTTTCCTCAATTTTTTCAGGAGCATCCTCCATTGGCTTCTCATTCTCAGATGCTTGTGTAGGAGTTTCGCCATTGTCGGATTGTTCCTCTCCCTCCTGCAACTACTATCATTACAATTACATGTAAAAGCATTTTTACTATAGCAGGAATAGGTTCCAACAGTACTCATTGAGAAAGTTAAGCAAAATCAGAACAAAAAAAGGCCACTAAATGCTCAGAAGAAATTCTGAGGCCTACCAATGAATCCCAACAAAATTCCTAAATTCAAATGCAAAATCTGATAAAATTAACAAGTGATAGTGCAAGGGAGATTTCGTGCAACAAATACGGATAGCGATGATGAATTTAAAATAACCACAAGGTCAGAAAAGGGGGCTGGGTGAACAGCCAACTTATCCCCCGACCCTTAGGTCAGTAGAAATTTGGAGGCTTTTCACACAGTGTTTCCTTTTTCTCAGTTTAATTTGTATATCTTTGTTCATTTTTCTAAAGAATATTTACACCTGGATCAACACTAAGTGCAAAGACTTTGAGTCTCATCTCATGACTTGCACTCTTATTAATGCGTAATAAGTGTTCTCCACCCAAATTCTCGAGATTAGTTCTTCTTGAGTGATAGGGTGACTGCTCGGGGCATACTGAGAACTTATGACCATAACCCCGGTCATTCAAGTCCATTTGATTGACGCTTGACCTCTACTCTCGAGCGTTCAATGTTCAGGAAATAGTACCTCAGGGTACACCGAATAGATATGCTCAGTACAATAACTATTAATACTTTGTAATTATGACTGTTAGTTTGGGTCTTGAAGATGCAAAGACTCACTAATATTCATGTTACAGTCACTTGTGTCTTCATTAATGAGTTTTCAAATATTTTTAAATGTTGGTGTCGGTACATGTACTTGGCTCCTCCGAGCAATTACTTCTCGGCGTCTTTTTAAGTTTCATAATGACTATATTTTTACACGTGAAGGCAGCTTAGACGCCAAAAGTTCCGTCAGATAGTATTGACCATTAACGAATTCCAATGGCACTTACATTTCAGTCGGCGAAACATGGTAAACATAACATTTAGAACTGATGCCCGCTAACCATGACCAGGGTCCAATTTATCGTAGCGAAAAATAAGGTAAATAGGACATCCAAATTGATTGGCATCAAACGGATTAGTCTTTTTATACATCACTACGTCACGAAGCACTATAATAGTGAACAAACCTATTTCCTGGATTTCTTGCCTGAATTCGAAATGAAAAGAAAAGATGGGTAGAAAATTCTTGCCTGAGTTTCCTGGATTTCTTCTTGTGCCATGAGTGAAAGTCTGTGAAAGTGGAGAGCGAAGGGCGTGGAGCTTCTGGTGGCTTCCTGCGTTACGGTGGTTTTGTCTTTTCATTATCTTCTGGGGACAATTCAATTTAAAAGGAAAGGAAGGCGCTAGGGCTAGTACTTAGTGGCATTGCGTCACACTACAAACTTTGCTTCTGGAATGCGCAAAATTTTTACCTTCCAAACTTTGGTAAATCCCATTTTATCACCTAAAAGATACAAAAAATTTAATTTGTCTTCTAAATAATTAATTTTTTCATATTATCTCTTCAAGAATAAAAAATACTATAATATGGTCTACCGTCTTATTTTCGTTTAATTATTTGTATGTTTTGTGGGCAAAATTTTTCAAAGGATAAAATGAAATTCTCTTTCCGAATTTTCACCATAATATTGAGTTTGACCAAGTCTTGAAAGATTGAATTTTTTAATTTTGGTGTAAATAATTTATCTTTAACCAAAAATTAAGAAAGAAATTAATCAAAATATTCATAAGCAAGTTTAACTCTTCATTGTTATACCAAAAAAAAAAAAATTTAGCTTCTTGCACTTTAGCCTTGGGGGATTTACACCGTTGGTTTATTAAAGAGTAAATTGTACTAGTAGTCCTTAAAATTTCATTTATTGCCCTTTAATGCTTAAAGTTTTAATTCTATCATTTTAATTATACAACTTTATAAATTAAACAAAAAAAAAAAGGCACGTGCATCATTTAAAAATAAACAATAATATAAATTGAAAGTATATGAATTTTTCATAATTTAGCTATTGCGAGCTCCTTACTTTCTACTAGACCCACGCCCTCTAACTGTAGAAGGTTTTCAGCCTATCATAAAATTTGAACCGACCTTTCCTTTGATAATCGACCAGCTTGACTTATAGTTAATTCCATAGAATTTGGGCCCATTGAGTAAAAAAGACCTCTCATGTCTTGATTAATGACCAGCTACTCATTTTGAATCTAATTCTTCACAAATATCATCAGTTGACCACGAGAACTACAAGAATTAACAGTTTCCGTCCCTCAATCCGCACCATGCCATTTCAAACCTTCATCTTCAATTTACCTAAAACAAGCAGATTTTGGTAACCATTCAGAGATTCCCCAACACCACAACCGTGGTTGTAAGGGTCAAAATTGCGTTTTTGATTTTCCTGCAAACAGAAACGTTTCAACTATTTTGAAACGAAATTTAATTTCTTGCTTGGTTGTATTATGCCCACTCAAGAACAACAAAGAATTGGAAGCCAGATGGATGAAGCATATTTCAAACACACACACCTTCCAAAGTCTGAGCTAAGGACACCAAACACAATTGTAGTAACAACTGGGATACTAAGGCAATCAATCAATAAAAAGTATTCCTGTTCTCATGAATTACAATAAAAACATCAAATTTCAGTATTACCAAAGATCATAAAATCAAGGCACTTAACTCCTAAAAACTCATACACTAGAATGTTATTGCAAACAACTTCTTCAATCAAAAAGTGAAAAAGTAGAAACAAAGTACTAATGTGAAAAATGCAACTACTGCTCAGGCTTGGTTGCGTCTTTAATTTCATCGCCCCCATCATCCTGCATACAGGCCACCAACTTATTAAAAATTTCAATATTGAAAGGAAAATGCGAGGCAATGAGTAACAAAAATTAACAAGAAAATAAACTTGAATCAAAACCTGCATATCTGAGGTCCACAAAGTCAGATTGTCACGAAGAAGCTGCATTATAAGAGTGCTATCCTTGTATGAATCTTCTCCCAGCGTATCCAACTCCGCGATGGCTTCATCAAAAGCCTGATGAAAAACAAACAAGCATTGGATAATGCTGCAACTGATTGATGAACTGCACACGACAAAAAGATACAAAGATACAAAACAACACACTAAAGCAAAAAAGTGGTGTTCTAACATGTGCTACATGAACATGGAATCTACTTGAAATGGTCACATTAACAACTTAAATAGGGGAGAGAGAGAGAACTCATTTAAAACATGAACAGAGAAAATATAAACAAACATATATTTGTCACATGTATATATGTTTATTAATGTATGTCTGAGCAGTGTGCATATGCATGTACATGTCGTCTTCAAAACTAATAGACATTGCGCATCAAATCAAATGACCTTTCAATGAAGTGTTCAAAGCAAGGCAACCTTATGTCCTTTCGATATCAATACTGGATTTTAGTGAAAGAGTATTGCAAACACACAGGTAAAAGCATTTAGGTATACACACATAATAGACCACACAGAATCAAGACCAGGTGTAAATTTCTCTATGATCAAAGGAAAAGTTGCGCATCAAAAAGTCTTTCAACCTAAAAACTCAAAGCTAAGCTCCCCACCTGTTTTGCTAGACTGCATGCTCGATCAGGAGAGTTCAAGATTTCATAGTAAAAAACAGAAAAGTTCAGAGCCAATCCAAGGCGGATTGGATGCGTTGGAGCCAATTCTGCATTTGCTATATCCTGAAAATAGAGATAAAAAAGAAACGAAACAATAGAGCATCAATAAGGAAACATAATATCAAAAAAAGGAAAAAAAAAAGAAAAAAAAACCACTAATCTTAATTTAACTCGCAACACATTTATAACAATTCTAATAACCTAGAGATAAAATTTCCCATAAATGAGGAACAACCTTCATAACAAGGTTTAAATTAGAACAAGAACCCCAAGCAACTAAATGAATGAGCTATGCCACTTGGATACTACAAATTTGTTCGTACTGTTTTCATGTGTAACCCATGTCAAACCAAAAGACTTAACTTTTGGAGTTTTTAAGGATCAAATTTTCGTTTCGAAATGACCGAAGAATTTCCGTTTTCAAAGAGATCAAAATAAATCAATCATGATATTAAAATTCCAATATTTCAAAGTGTTTTATAATGTTTTGAGGTATTTGTACAATTGTTTCAAAAATTTTCAAGTTATTTCAAGATACTTTAGTATATTTCGACCAACGTTTTAAAAATAATTCTTAATTATTTTATTTATTTTCATTCTATTTTCAAAAAAGGTCGAAACAATTATAAAATTGATCGAAACGTTTCTATTTTCTAGGTGATCAAAATAATGTCTCGAAACAAAATTTTAATTTTTGGGAGTTTTCAAGGATAGTTGTCACTATCAAAGAATAACTTACTTATCATGCCTCAAGTAGCTATAAAATTACACTTAGATGAATCCGACACTCACATATATCCCTCTAGCAACTTGAATAAAGGCACAAAGCTTAAAATTTCATTAACTGACATAAGGCTGCATCGGATTTATAAAATGACGAAGTCTAGACTTACAGCTAGATTAAATTACCTTCCCACAGGATGCACGAATATAAATGTGAGCTTTATATAGGTGGATTAGAAATAAAAAAGTGATAGGAGTAATTTGAACTCCATGCAAAGAAGGATACTTGTTCAGCCTTATAATCTTTTTGTGACTTTGAAACCCCACATCCCTTCATTTCACATGCCCTAAAAGGCAAGATCAAGTAAACTCACAGCTCTGTACAAATCCATGCAAAATTTAACACCAAGAGTTGGTTAGAATTCAAAAATCCAACTTCCACCAGTCAAAGAACATAGTCTTCAACATCCCTAAAAACCATTTATGACATTAGAAGGTGCTTTAACATCCCTAAAAACCATTTATTATATTACAAGGTAAAACTCAAAATCGTTACGTGATGATAAGAAGACCCATAACCCAGAACTCAGTAAACAAATAGACGTGCAAATCATGAATACTCTAACCTGGCCAAATTGAATTGATGTTGAACTAAAGCGATTTTAATGCCTAATAACCGACGGAATGTTACAAAAATGCACAGAATTCAATTACAATAAGCAAGACAGAGAAAAAAAAAAGTAACAACCCCCAAACAAACCCGACAAACATACAATCCATTTATTACCAATTGTAGCCAATCTCTTAAATCCCACAACAATTCACAAATAAAATAATGTGGATCACCATACCGCCACAGTTCCAGGCATTATTGTAGTAAGCACAAATCCAAGAAGAACCTTAGCAATACTTCACAAATACAAAAATAATCAGATCAAATGTTCAGATATAGAAACTATTCATATAAATGGGTATAAAATCAGAAAAAACAAACCTGTGCTGCCTTATAGCCATTGAGCGTGTTCTCCGCCGCCTCCTTCCTCTCCGATCCAGTCTTAAACTCCGCCAAATACCTATGGTAATCCCCTTCATCTTCAAATAAAACACCTTGGAGTCCCCAGAACCCGCACTGGGCACCAACCTCGAGTCCAAAATCTTCAAAATCCCATCACAAATCTTCGACAACTCCGCCTCAATCTTCGCCCTATACTCCTTAATCGCATTCACGTGATCGACGTTTCCACGGGACTCTTCCTTCTGCTCGATCGACGATATGATCCGCCACGACGCCCTCCGTGCTCCGATCACGTTCTTGTAAGCTACGGACAAGAGGTTTCGCTCCTCCACCGTGAGTTCGTCGGAATCGGGGACGGCGGCGACGACTTTCTCCATGAATTCCACCATTTCCTCGTATCGTTCGGCTTGCTCGGCGAGTTTCGACATGTAGACGAACTCTTCGCCTCGTGATGGAGCTGGGGTTGCCATTGTTGATTTTTTTTTTTAAGGTTTGGAAGTGAGAATTTTTTAGATCTGATCTGAAAGATGGAGTGTAAAGGGAAGAGAGAGAAAGGTGAAAAGAGAAACGGGGGATGTTGACGAGAATTGTCGGGGATCTTCGTACCTGACTCAAATTTAGGTTTAAAATTAAATTTGAATAAAAAAATTTTAAAAATTTGCTACAACGTTTTCTCAAATTTTCGGGTTAATTGCAAGTTACGTTCTAAACATAGTTTGAATCTCAATTTAGATTTTTAAAGGTCAAAAATTTTAATTTATACTCTCAAAAATATAAATTTGTATCAATATGTACCCCAAAAATCAAAAATCTTAATTTATACCCTAAAAAATAGAAATTTGTATCAATGTGGACCCTCAAAGATAAAAAATCTCAATTTGTATTTCAAAGATAAAAATTTGTATCAATGTGCACCTAAAACTAAATTGATAATTATATCTATATCCTTTCATGTTTGTCACTTAATTATTTGGACTCCTTCACATTTAGAATATTACTTCTACATCTCACGGTGTTTGTGCACGTGTAACACATAACCCATTTTCGTTAATATATGTTAATATAACCGTTAAAAAAATATGATTTTATTCTAATAAAAAATTATAATTTTATATTACCTTTTATTTTGTGGATCCGATATATTTTAAAATTCAAAATCAAGCTTACCATTTGAATGTCCAATAAAATGTAGATATTTATATAATTTTTTTATATCAATATAATATATCACTCAACGTGCACCCTTTATTCTGTTAGACATTCAAATGGTAAGCTTGATTTTAAACTTTAGAATATATTTGACCCATAAAATAAAAGGTAATATAAAATTATAATTTTTTTTATGATAAAATCATATTTTTTAACAGTTATATTAACAGATATCAACGAAAAAGGATTACGTGTTACACGTGCACAAATGTCATGAGATGTAAGAGTAATATTTTAAATCTAAAGAACTTCAAATGATTAATTAACTAGCATAAAGGAATCTAGATATAATTTATCAATTTAGTTTTAGGTGTATATTGATACAAATTTCTATCTTTGAGGGTGTAAATTGAGATTTTTTATCTTTAGGGGTGCATATTGATACAAATTTCTATTTTTGAGAGTACAAATTGAAATTTTTCATATTTGGGGGTGCACATGAATATAAATTTGTATATTTGAGGGTGCAAATTGAGATTCAAACGATTTTTCATGATACAATTTGTAATTAATCCCAAATTTTTTTTCTTCAAATTAAGGAAGACTCAAATTCTTATTCAAATATTTAATTGTGAGATTTTATTATCTTTTAAAGATCTAATAATCATTTTTACTCTTATTTAAATTTAAGTTTCTCATTCTTTAAATTTGAATTTATTCATTAGAATTTTTTGTATCAAATCAAGTTTTTATTCAAATATTAATTTAAATTTGAGTAAAAATTTGAATCATGGTTAGAGATGCTCTTAAGAGAACTCTGATTTTCTCTCTTTGTCTCTGTTACTCTCTCTCATATTTTATTATGCATTTATTTTCACTTTTTACTAATAATAGTTAGAGTTAACTATATATTTAGCCCTTAAACTATAGTATTTATGTTAATCAAACCCCTGAGTTATGTGATGTATCAATTTAGTCCCTGAACTATATAATTTGGATCAATGTGGGTCTCCATTCAAATTCGCCATTAACTTTGATAAAAATTCTCACACGCACATCACATGATTTCTAAACTAAAACTTAATTTCTGACTTATATAATGTGCACGTAATAATTTCCAATAATTTCCATAAATTTACGGCAGATATATATAGTTCAAAAATTAAATAACACAAAATATAATTTATGGACTTGGTTAACACAAAAAGGAAAATTTAAGAGTCAAATAGTTAATTAACTGTAATAGTTATTATATTGTAATTACCAAAAGAAGAAAATTTCTAATTACTATTAATATTTAGAAATATTTTGTAAAAATTACATTTTTATTAATTAAACACACACTAACAATGTAGAAGCTATAATAGACATATAAACACACACACACACTTCTTAAGACTATTCGATATGGGATCCCCCAGCTTCTACTGTCCCAGACACAGTGGCCCTAAAGGCACTTGTCTCACGGAGGAAGGGCCCCATTAGACTCTAATTTTTTTTTTTTTTTGATCAAACTACAACCACTCACATTAATAGTGTGAGAGTCATAGTAGACATATAAACCACCACACATTCCTTAAAACTATCCGATGTGAGATAGTCACAACACTTTTTAACACTCTTTTTTTGGGTAACGAGAAACTTCACTAAGATTGGACCACTTTAGATCCATTCCTCCATGAGTAAATTTTGGATACATTAAATAATTACTTTGGATTTTCACAAGAAGATACTTTTATAAAAAATGTGTTTGGTTGGTTTACAAAAAATATTTATTGAATAAATATCATTTAGATGTTCATAAAAAAAATACTTAAATAAAAAATAAACTATAAAAACATATATTTTGATGGAAATCAAAAATATCTATATAATAAATTAGTTTGTGACTTGAATCTTTATCTCATATATGTTTTCTTCCTAAAAATATTATTTTACTCAATTTTTGTTATATTTTCAATTATTTAATATTTAATTAATTTATAGTTTAACATAAATTTTATTTTATATATTATTCATATACGATAGTGTATATATGTTAAAAAAAATTTATCGAATTATATATTTTGAGAAAATTTTGATATTATTTTTAAGAAAATAATAGGCAAAAATTAATTTAAAATGATGTAGTCAAAGAAACAAAAAAATAAAAAATTATAATTTGGTGTAGCAAAATTAGTTTTTTAAACATTCGAATATTATATTTCTTCGTATTTTCTAACACGGGCGATAATAACAAGTTAATTTATATTACAATTATTAAAATACCCCTAGATGCACACGTACATATGTGGAGATGCAGACAAAGGTAAAATGATAGTGAGGATGATTAGTGATTGCGGTTGTTGGTGTAGAGAGGGGTGATGGTGACTAGTGGTGGCTGTCAACAAAAAGAGAAGTGGAGGGGTGGGATGGGATGGGATGATAGCAATAAAACTCAAAAAATAATTAAAAATTTATTCTTTATTAATATCTTAATTTTAAATAATTTATTTTTTATTAAATTAAAAAAAATTAATTAAAATAGGCATAAACTCGACTTTCAATTTATTACTTTTTTCTTCTTAGGTTTAATCACCGTACATGGGCTACCATTCCCTTTCTTTTCAAGTGATAATTGTGTGATAATTGAGCATTACGTGGAGCTTGATGGTTAATCGAATATATGATGCTTGCTTTTCCATGCTGTTTTTCTGTATTATTTTTTCGACTTCTTGTCGATTATTTTATGGTAGTGTGATTTATATTTTCGTATAATTCTATAGAATCAAGTAGTTAACGCCGAGGGATTAATTCAAGTAATAGTCAACCACTTGATAGATGTCTTAAACTGATATTAGTTAAAAGTTTGATACTCTATAAAGTGAAAATATTCTCTAGACCCACATCTCCTAGATTTAACTTCTATTCGTGGAGAAGAGACTTTGGATGTGGGTTCAAATTAACTACCGGACATGAGTCCAAATGGGTTCGATTGGTGGTCTTCCTAGGTTATCCAAAAAAAAAAGTAGTTTCCTGTAGTGTATGCTCCAAGTCCAAGCAGTGGTGTCAAAAATGCTGCTGTTTCTCTGTGCATTTGAGATTGTTTTGGAATAATTGGAATTTCAATTATGCCAGCCTTCCTCAATTCCTTTGCTGCTCAGAACAGAGTCACAACACTTAATGGTTCATATTCCGAATTGGTTTCATCCCTATAACAATCGGATGAATTGAATTGTAGACATGAAAACATAAAAACTCAATGAGATCTCCCCATCGAATCAGACAAAGAAAGAAGGGGAATTCAAGTTATCAAAAGCTGCAGTGAAATGCCGTTCTTAGAAATGATGGTTTTTGGGTTTATGGTTTATAGAATCTTGATGGAAGGGTGGGCTAAAAGAGTTCCAGAGATATAATGGCAAAATCGTCGCTCCTAATAGAATCGTCCATAGGTTCTTGGTAGAATCATATAACAATAACAACGTAATGTTGCCGTTATACTTGAATTCATCAACTTAGAACTACTAATAAATTAGATTATTTTTTATCAATAGTTGTTACAATTCATACTTTCTAATTAGATGTCAATATGATGTGTGCTTTGATTGGACTATTAATGAATAATATGGGATCAACTCAAAGTTAGTTCAACGTAGTTTATTTATAAACTAATCAAGTTCGAGCTTAATTTTAAAATACGTTTAATAAATAAATCATGCTCAAACAATTACTTGTTAAAGTTGTTGAGCTTCATTCCTATCCATACATCACGTATTACATAAGACTTTACATTTTTATGGCACATGGGAGATAAAGACGTGATTTTGATGTTGTCAAAGACATATTTCAATAAGTCAATCCGATATTTTCAACTTATGTTGTATTGTGCCTTTAAGTACGAGTTATCTTTAAACAAATTTAATCATTAGTTTAATCATGGTTTGACTCTAAGGATAATTCAAGTTATAATAAAGACGACTGTAAATTCAAATCTTAACAATCTCTTAGATTAAGTTACGAGAGATTTATCTCTCATGAATATCTTACTCCTGACGTGGATATCCTGTCTTTGACTGGATTAATGATAAAATTAGTTGATATGTATATAAACAAATTAAAAAAAATCATCATTTTAAAGCCAAGCCCAAGTATAGAAAAAAATAATATATGAAACTTGAATGAAATATTCAAGGTTAATCATGGTCTGAATTCATCCTAAATACTCCACTTATGTAAAATTGTAAATAGATAATAGAGATGATTATGATGACGAAATTTAAATCAACCACTTTAATGTTTAACAGCGGGGCGATTACCATTATGCCAATTGCTCATCTCAATG